GGACAAGGGGGAAAAATTGGCTTTGTGAAAAAAAGAAAAAAATTTTTGGGGGCCCCCCCCCCCGCCCCTTAAAAAGGAAACGAAAAGGGGGGGAAGTGATTTGATTGGAATTTTTTTTTGGGGGGGGAAAAATTTTTTTTGCCCCCCCTTCGCCAGGGAAGAAGGGGGGGGTTGCCCCTGGGTTTTGGTCCCCGGGGAAAACATTCCCCCCCTTTTTTCCCCGGGGGGGGGGTTAAAGGTTTTACCGTAAAAAAGGCCCCCAAAAACCAGGGGTCCCCCCCCTTTTTTTTTTCCGGGGGAAACCCCGCCCCCCCCCCCCCCGCTTTTGGGGGGGGGGGATCCCAAGGTTTAAAAAAAAACGCCTGCAAAAACAGGGGTTCCCCCCCCCCCCCCCCCCCAGCTCTTCACGCGGCGTACCCGCTCTCGCCCAACACACGTTCAGATCGACGGTCGAGCAGAGGAGGAGGAGGAGGAGGAGGAACACCAGCACCACAAAGACGAGGAGCCCTACAAAGACAACGTCGGCGATACTGCTGCCGCTGTTCCTTCCTGTGAAGAACAAGAAGGTGAGTGAGAAGCGAGAAAATAAAGAGGAGAAGAGAAGAGCAAACAAGAGAGGCCATCTCTCGCGACCCGAGGTTTCCCCCCAAATCTATTTAGCAACGGCGAAGGATTTTTTTTTGCAGGGTGCTGCTCTGTGCCGGTGCTGCGGGCCGACGGCGGCGACAAATGACCGAGAGAACTTTTAGACAAGTAGAGAAGAACCCCCGTGAAACCGTGAAACCGCCCTCAGGGCACGTTTTTTGTTGGGGGGGGGCGGAGATAATAATGGTGTTCTTGGCCCTCCCACGGGCATAGCAGTTCGGTCGGTCGAGCCTGCTGCTTTCTCCTGGGTTGAGCTGGATCCTCCTGCTGGAGATTGCGCCGCCTCTGCTGCGTTCGATGGTATTGTACGGCGCTGTAGTCGTCATCACGGAAGGAAGACGGCACGGCTTGCGCTTGTACCGGCAGCAACACTTTGTGTGTGGGACGGACTTCCATACTGTTTTTGTTTGGAATGCACTCGCGCGAGGGCTGATTTCTGACGCGGGCTCGTTGGCTGAGGGGAAAACATGTTTGATGGTCGTTTCGCTGCACCTGTCGTCATTTATTTTTCTTGCTTTTGCTGGGGTTCGTGGACTTTTCTTTCTCCTGTAATAGTCGGTGGCCTCGATTCCGCCTGATACTTGAAAGAAACTATTCAAACATGTGGATCTGCTATCGTGCGCGTATGACAGAAGGCGATAGCTTCCACCATCGGTGGCGGCGGCAGCAGCAGCAGCAGCAGCAGCTGCAGCAGCAGCTGCAGCAGCAGGAGGAAGCCTGGCCATCGACAACAACAGCACCAGCACCGCCAGCGCCAGCAGCAGCAGGCGCGTCGAGAGCACCGTCACCAACGACACCAACAACAGTAGGAGCAGCAGCAGCAGCAGCAGCAGCAGCAGAAGCAGAGGCAGAAGCAGCTCAGTCAGCAACGATGACACTGGCAGCAGAAGCAGCAGCAGCAGAGGCAGGAGTGGATGCAGTAGCAACTGCAGAGGCAACAGCAGTAGCAGCAGCAGCGGAAGCGACAGCAGAAGCGGAGGAAGCAGCAGCAGCGGAAGTGACAACACAAGCAGAAACAGCAGCAGCAGCAGCAGCAGCAGCAGCAGCAGCAGCAGCAGCAACGGCAGCAGAAGCAGAAGCAGAAGCAGAAGCAGAAACAACAGCCGCAGAAGCAGCAGCAGAAGCACAAGCAGCAGCAGAAGCAGTAGCAGCAACAGTGGCGACAGCAGCAGCGGCAGAAGCAGCGGCAGCAGAAGCAGCAGCAGAGGAGATAGCAGCAGCGGCAGCAGCAGCAGCAGCAGAGGAGATAGCAGCAGCGGCAGCAGCAGCGGCTTCATCTTCGGAGGCGTCCCTCGTCCCCCTCCTCCGGGGAGAGATTGCGGAGCTGCAGCGGCGCCTGCGGTCCAGCGAGGACGACACTCTGCGGGCCGTCCGCAGGCTGGCCCAGGCGAACGAGGAAGCCATGGACAGAGACGGCGCCCTGCGTGCTGACGAGCTCGAAGTCGAGGTGTGTGGCGTCGCTAGTACGGTGGCGTGGTACCGACAGCGCGAACGGTTTATGTAACGTACTGCTAGGTTGCACAAGATATCACACCCCCTGGACCGATTTTGGAACCTCGATATCTCGGCAGGAGGAAGCAGTGACGGTGCAGAAAAATGACGGGCGGCGTTGGAACCGTCTCGTCGAGAGACAAGCTTTCCGAAAATGAATACTGCAATTTTCGGCATCCTTCTTCGTCGTGGGAGTAATCGAGCTTTGAAAATCGATCTAGGGGGTGTGATATCTTATGCAAACCTACGGTATACACAGAGTTAGCGCCCGCGTTCAAGAAACGTTAAGTTGGATTCGAGGCTTACTTTGTTATTTCGTCACCACCGCCGAGCATAGGTCACACTGCTGTGTAGAGCTGAATGTAGGATCCACGGCTGAGGTGTGTTTCTTGGTCGATTTTTTCTTGTTCATCGCCAAAACCTGAGCCTTTGTTTCTTTAACGGCTTGTCTCTGAATCGCGGCTCATTTTCTTTGTTCGTCACCACCGCCGAGCCTAGGTCACACTGCTGTGTAGAGCTGAGCGTAGGATCCACGGCTGAGGTGTGTTTCTTTAGTCGATTTTTTCTTGTTGATCTCCAAAACCTGAGCCTTCGTTTTCTTAAGGGCTTGTCGCCGAATCGCGGGCGCTAACAACTTTACTCGATGTGTGGCGTGGCACCGACAGCGCGAACGGGCTGGATACCCGATGCGGAGACGCCGGCCGTTAGGGGAAGAAAGAACGCAAGAACGCCGCTATTGTTGTGTGTACGCAGTACAGTCGTGGCCCCCGGTTTAGCGACTCCCTGTCTAGCGGGATGCCCCGAATAGCGGCCCCGAAATCTCGTGGCACGGCTGCACACCTCGGTGGTCAACAGTACAATACAAGCTGCCATTCCGGTTTAGCGGCGATGCTCTCAATAGCGGTTTTAACATTATTGTGATACTGTACGGCATGGACCGCTAAACCGGCGCCACGACTGCTGTAGTGTGGTATGTTGTTTGTGGTTGGGAATAACAGCTCCACAACGAAGAAGGCGACTTTTAAGTCAACCGATACCCCATTTTTGGACAGCTGGTCACGGACGGACGTCCATCGTGTAATTTTCATGCCCCCCCCCCCAGGAAAGTTGTTCTGTTTTTCCGCTCATACACATCATGCACACGATCCCTTTAATCCGCTTTTTTGCAAGAACAAAAAGCTCAACCCTGTACCGGCCACTCTTCTCGCAATAAACAACTATTATGAGTCAACCGATAACCCATTTTTGGACAGCTAAAGCTCTCGATGGGACGGTTCCAACGCCTCCCGCCATTTTTCGGCACCGCCACTCTTTGTGGTGTGGGGAAATCGAGCCTTTGAAAATCGTTCCCGAGGGTGTGGTATCTTGCGTCACCTACGGCAGATGCTGCATGGTGAGAGTAACTCGGCCATCCACCAGGCGTACAACTGGTTCTACTAACAAAGATCAGAAAATGCTACTGCTGCTGCCATTGGTGCTTCCGTTACTACTTCATGTCGGAGCAATTGTTTTATCTACCCCGTGCTTCTGCTGCTGCTGCTGCGATTACTGCTGCTTCATTTCTATCAGCACGACTAATTTTCCGTCCGTGCTGCTGCTGCTGCTGCTGTTGCTGCTGTTGCTGCTGCTGCTGCTTTGATTGTCGTTGCTGCTGCTGCCGTTGTGTAGGCGCTTCGAGAGCAGGTCCGTTGCCTGGCGGAAGAAGTCCGGCGATCCGACGCTCGCGCGAGCGAGCGAGACGCAGAGGCGCGTCAGCAGTCCCACACCAACAGTCAGCTCAAGCAGGTACCGACCAACCGCCGTGCAAATAATTCTGATCCCCCTCCCCCCCCCCCTTGCACCCGCACCTGCCCCCTTGGTGATGTGTGAGTGCCTGGTCCGGTGAAGACCCAGCGTGCTCCGTCCCGACTGTGTGGGAATTCACGGTCAATGGTCTAACGACTACGGCATGCACGACTATGAGTACACCCCCCCCGCGCCCCCCAATCGAGCACGTACAGACAAAGATTTTATCTACATAGACTAAGACGACGACAAGTTCAAGTATGAATGCGGCTCGGAGCGCGAAGGCCGGGTTCATGTAGTTGTTGCAGATTTTCCGTTCTGTGAAAAGGAAAGAGCTGGGCAAAAATTGAGACATGTTTGTAGCAGGGAAAGTGGGCTGAAATGGCGGGAAAAGTGATATATGGGTCGGATATATAGACAGTGAATATTTATTTTTGAGCCACTTTGAGCAAAGTAGGAAGGAGCGATTGGCCATCGGCGATGGGTCCTGCGGGAACAGCCGCTCCGTCCTCTCGAGAGGACGCGCGCGTGGTCATCAATGGTCCAACCGCTACGGCATGCAGTACATGGCTACCCCGACTATTTAGACCACTTTCATGTGTTTACGTGAGTACACCCCTCCCAATCCACCACCTCTACGGCGTTTTTTCTAAAGGTGATCGATCAAATGCGCGAGGTTTCCCGCAACTACAATGAGGAGAGGGCGGCGCACGCTCGGTCGCTGGGAGACGCTTTGTCGGTGAGAAGAAGGTTCGTCGGGAGGAAAAAGCACTCCTCCTTCTGCCGCGGGTCACGGGTGTTTTCGTCTGGTGTCGTTGTCGGTGCTGGTTTGTTTCGGCTTGACGGTCGTGACGGCGTTTTGGTTTGGAACTCGCTGTATTTGTTGGTGTTTGGTGGTCAGTGATTTATTGGACCTGGTTGGATTTGTTGGTGTTTGGTGTCATTTTTGTCGCCGTTGTCGTTGCAGACGGCGTTTTGATGACATCGTTGAAATCTATGGTGTTGGTTGCTGTGGCATGCCTTGCGTTGGCGATTTGATAAAAAAGTCGTCGTCGTCGTCGTCGTCGTCGCAGGCAGCGTTGATGACGTTGCTGTTGTTGGTTGTGGTGGCGCGCCTGCGTTAGTGAACTTATTGGAACTCGTTGGATTTGTTGGTGCTTGGTGTCGTCGTTGTCGCCGTTGTCCTTGCAGGCGGCGTTTGATGGCATCGTTGAAAATACTTTGTTGTGGCATGCCTTGCGTTGGCGATTTGATAAAAAAAAGTCGTCGTCGTCGTCGTCGTCGCAGGCAGCGTTGATGACGTTGCTGTTGTTGGTTGTGGTGGCGCGCCTGCGTTAGTGAACTTATTGGAACTCGTTGGATTTGTTGGTGCTTGGTGTCGTCGTTGTCGCCGTTGTCCTTGCAGGCGGCGTTTGATGGCATCGTTGAAAATACTTTGTTGTGGCGTGCCTTGCGTTGGCGATTTGTTGGACTTGGTTAGGTTTGTTGGTGTCGTCGTCGCCGTCGTCGTCGTCGTTGCAGGCGGCGTTGATGACGTTGGTTGTTGTGGCGTGCCTTGCGTTGGCGATTTGTTGGAACTCATTGGATTTATTGGTGCCATCGCCGTCGGTGTCGATGTCGTTGCAGGCAGCGTTGAACGACTGTTGGTGTTGGTTTTTGTCGGTGCTGGTTGTTGTGGCTTACCGACGTTGGGGTTCGTTTGGGATTTCGTCGGATTTGTTGACATCATCGTCATTGTCATTGTCGCTGCTGTCGTCGTTGCCCACACTCCCCCGACACTCTGCGGTGCATGCACACCCCCGGGGGGGGGGGGGGGGGTGTACTCATGGTCGTGCATGCCCTAGTCGTTAGACCATTGACCTCGCATCCCTACAAAGCCGGGACGGAGCACTCCGGGTTCTCACCCGGGCCAGGCCTCTCACATCACCAAGCGCGAACCGCCGAGAGGTTTTCGCCGAGTCGCATGAAGGTGCACTGCACCCTGCTATGGGGTTGGGGGCGACGAACTTGGCAGGCCTTGTCAGTGGCCTAGCAACCAAGGCGTGCGACTCATGACTACGCCCTCGTACCTTCCCCCGCCCACTCCCCCGACCTTTGTCAGGCCAAAGAGTCCGCCGAGCAGGAGGCCTTGTCGGTGAAGATGCTCTACTCGGAGGTCCAGGAGGAGCTCGAGCGCGCGCTGCAGGAGACGGACCAAAGAAGCACGTCAGGTCAGGAACAGGTGTGTGTGTGTTGTTATTGTTAGTATCGACCACGCTCACCGGCTGACCCATGAAATACGTCAGTCTCAGTGCGGTTGAGTTTGTGTGTGTGTATGTGTGTCTTTCTCATTAGCGTCACCCGCGATAACCGGCTGACCAATGAAAATATGTCAGTCTCGGTGCGGTTGAAAACACAAAATGCATCTTAAGCTGTGTGTGTGTTTTTCTTAATACTGTTGGCATTGACCACCGCGCTGACCGGCTGGCCAATGAAAAGGCGGCAGTCTCAGTGCGGTTGAAAACACAAAATGCTTGTAAAGGTCATGATCGGGGACCCCGTGAGGGGGCGTGGTAAGGGAGGCTATGCTACTCCGGGTTAGAGACAGACACCGTGGCAATAACAGAAGGGGCTTGCATGCGGCGGGACCGCCGGATTTTGACTTATAAAAATAAGACACATGTGTCTGTTTTACTTAGCGTCGACGGCGCTAGGCAGCTGACCGATGAAAGGACGCCAGTCAGGACCAAACAAGTACATCAGACCAGGAACATGTGTGCGTATGCGCGTGTGTTTTAATTAGCGTCTTGTTCTTTTTGGTACATTTCCTTGTGTTCCAACGAGAGCGCACGTGGTGTAAAGAAGGAAACGTGGAAGTTAGGCGACGTGAGATATCTCGCCCCCTGGACCGACTTTCAGAGCTCAGTTACTCCCCCCCCCACGAAGAGGATGTACACATCAAACGATGCGTTTTGTGAAAGCTGCCAACTAGGCAGCGGTTCCAACGCCGCCTTTTTCGGCACGACCACTCTTTTTAGCAAGCGAGCTTTGAGGATGCGGTCTATAAAGGTGTGGTATCTTGCGTCACCCACGGTATTTCATCCTTCCGTTGTGTTTTGGCTGTAGCTTCAAGGCCGGGCGATGCGGTCGAAACCAAAGCAACCCGTGGCGGCTCTTCGGGCGCTGTGCAGTTGCTGCTTTCGCTTCGATCTCGATCTCTCTTTTTTTCTAGCCTTCTGTCGCTGTCTTCTAGCGGCTGCTGTGATCATCATTGTCATGTTCCGCCATCCCCTCCACCAACTCGTCTTCCAGGTAGCAAGGGGAGTGAGATTGAGTGCAACAACAACACGCACCCCATCTTCTGGCTGGCTGTAAAGGTCACTGGCATGCGTCACCCGTACACACGCCATGCAGAAAGAAAGGAAACCACACACTCGAACTCAATGCGTTGGCTGTTCACGTTGTCACGGCCATGCTCCACACGTACACACGCATTGCTGAAAGAAAATAAGCCTTCTTGTACATTTTTTTCGGCGAAGACACAACACACATGCACACATGCACTCTATTAGTAACATGCAAGAGAAAAAAACAACATGCACTCCCCCATGCACTCACCAATGCTGCCCCCCCCCCCCCCCCCCCCCCCCCCCC